TGCTCTAAGCTCGATCACCAATTGACAGGATTATAAAACCCATGGTTCTATCCCATTTATTCCCATTTCCTGTTTGTGCCTAAAATATTACAAATCGAATACTCTTTTAGAACATTATCTAGATCCATGAGCACTATTATGACATTTCAGGGTAGGCTGCAATTGTTAATAAATACGCTATTATTAAACAGAGTAAACACCACAGAAATATCCTCCATCAACTCAAGAAAAGGGCTAGAGATATTAACTCTGTCATTTGATGTTCCAGAAACTGAAAGTAAATAACATGGTCTTCTGTGAATATTATTAAGTTAATTATGATCTCAATATGTTGAATTTAGTGAAAAGTCATCTTTTTTTGCAGAAGGTTAAATGCATAATCTAAGAAGTGAGGTACTTACCTTAGCAATTCTTCTGGATCTAGCCTCTATTGTGTTTTAGTTAATTAGATCATTATGTTAGTGGAATAGATAAGATGATCATATGATTTGGAATATCTTAAGAAGTTTCACATCCCCAGCACACTAAAAAAATCAATTCTATTTTTCCTTCATGCAGTGGAGGCTTTGAGTTGGATATTTAATCAGATGTTCTGTATTTTCACCTATCATTTACTTTGCCTTGAGATATCACAGAGTAAGGATATTTCTACTTTCCAAAAGCCCTTTAGCCCTTCATAATGGGTGGTAGAATATGAAGATCTTCCAAAACGTGGAGCATTAATGGGCATCTATAGTGATCAAGATAACTTTCTCCATATTTGGAAGTACCTCACTCTCTACTTTGGTGGACAGGTTGTTCAGGGAAGAATCAAAGAAGTTTAATTTTTATATTGAATTGAAGAAAAGTGTATACAAAATAAAAATTAGCAATTCTAAGTACATTAACTAACATTAAGGGAAATGGTGATTTCCACCTGGTGTATTAAACAGATTACAGAATCACAGAATCTTATGGATTTAAAGGATTCTCTGGAGATCATCTGATCTGATCCCTCTGATAAAGACAATTCCTTAGAGCTGGTTGCATTTCATTGTCCATTTTACTGTTAGAAGCCAGATTCAGAGATTCTGAACTCTGAGAAATTGCAAGTAAAGCAATTGTTGTATACTTTACGGACATTCCCTGACTCGAACCTTGAAGAATTAACATATCATGAATTTCCACAAAGCATTTCTAATAGCCTAACAAACAGGAAGCTTCTCAAATAGCACTAAGTACAGGATGTAACAGCTGCTGAATATTTCTTCTTTCCTTCCTGTTCTTCTCTTTAAGAATTTAAATATACTGTCTTGAATGAGGTTGCTCCCAGAGTTAAAATGTAACCTTAGCAAGCTGTACAAACATCGCGGCCAAATATCAAAGTGTTCAGAGAAGAAAAGTGTATATTTATTTAAATATATATATATATATATATTTGAGAAGGGAGTTCCAAAATGACTCTATTTGCACTTGATGTCAAAGGTGTGCATTCCAAATCTGTAGCATGCTTTTATTGGTTTGTTGTAAAGGAATGACAAACAATATTTGTTTTTCTGCTTTACTGTAATGCGTTATATTCTTGTTTCAGTTTCCATTCCATTTCTTCAAGGGCAGTAGTCTCATGATCCTTTTTCAAATACCTAGATTTTCAGTGTGGGTAGAAAATGTTTCTTATTAGGGCAAACAAGACTGAGAGGTGTGAACATAGTCAGTTAAAACGCTCTTCACTTAAAAAAAATATGGGAGACGTTTCATAGCTTTTAATAAGAGATTTGGATCTTGTTTAGAGTTGTAGTTTCACTATATCAGTTTTAATGCTGACCACATTGCACTTGCAATAAAATGAAACTGCAAATATAATACCTATATAAACTGTTCTGCAGGAATGCTTTGCTAAGAAGATATTATTTATGCTGAGGCCATTCTTTCATTCAACAAGCAAAAAATACCAAATAAAATCTACTTACTCTGCTGGTCTTGAATGTTAAAAATAACATTTGTTGATGTACAGCAGTTAATCCCTAAACTATGCCTATTTCTTCTAGATTCACTCATAATACATACTTGATTGTAAAAGTATAACATATTCTGTTCTGTATTGCCTAATTTAGTTGAGGGTAGTTTCCAAGAAAGAGAGTTTGATTGGCACAATTTATTTCAGTTCTGTTAACAAAACACAGAGAAACAGATATTGTTAAGTGTCATTACAATAATCAAACTTTTCCTTTGAAGAAAGTAGTTTTCAACTTGCATCACTTTGTCTGTAAATCTAAAGACTTTTGAAGCTGTTTTGGGATCAGTGACTAACAGGGCAGAAAATGAAAATGCAGAGCAGGAACAATATAAACCTCATGTGTTCCTTGTCTTTGAGAGATACACAGCACGTCAGTGACGCCAAGCAACTCAGCAGCTGTTAATTGTGCATGTATTAGGGAAAAACTGTGAGATGTTCTCAGTAAAAAAGAATATAATCACAAGAGTACAATCAGCAATCAAAATGCCAGGAGGTGTATTTGGTCTGTTTAGGTAGGGAACAAATGTTAGTTCAGTTAAGAAGTTATTTTTCCTGATTGTTTCCTAGTAACAAATTGTGCATCTAAAATATGCAATATTTACCTGTTTCCTTATTCTCCACTACACTTTATGTTGCTGTACATGAGTGTGACTATATTTATCATGTTTTAAGAACTTACTGAAAGTAAGTTTTAACTAGGAATGTTATTTAACATCAGGCAAAATAGAAAACTTCAAATAACAACTAGCCTGTTATCTAGAGGACATTTAGAATGTGGCTATATCTACATCAGTATAGTAGCTCAGATCACAAAAGGGGCTTTTTGAGCTGAATAACCTTGTCATCCATTAGCTGTATTTTTGGAACAACCAATGTAATTATTTTAGAACAAGTGAAATGGATTCCCTTCTAACAGAACTGAACAGAACTGCACTCCAAAAGAGCACCTGGTATCCTCCTGGACATTCAGGTTACAGGCCAAGAGACAGGCCAAGATTTATAATGTGTATTGCAGGTGTTAGTTCCTCAGGTTCAATTTCTTTTTCTGCAGAAAAAAAAAAAAAAAAAAGAAAGAAAGAAAAAAAAAGATCATATTGCACTACATAGCCTAATATTGATAATGTAGCTTATTCTGCTTCTTGACATTGATGTAGTTGTACAGTTTTAAAACTGTACAAAATAGTGATAGGGTTCTATGATGTTACAGAAAAGCATATTTAATTCATACTTTTTAAATAATGGGAGAAGGTAACAGGCAGTTATTTTTCAGCAATGTAACTCTTTTGGAAGTAGAAACAACCAAACTTTCTGTAAGCATTTAGGAGATGAGAAGGTGAATAACAGATGTTTTGGATTTCTTAGAAGGAAATTGTATCATATCAGCTTATCTCTTCACACTCATAGCAGGAAACTATGAGAAACATATCTTTAAGGATTTCATCTCATCACAAATTCTGATAAGGAAAATAAAAAGAACATCATTAAACTGTTATTACGTGTCTGCATAACTACTTAGAAAGCTAACTCCACAGATAATATTATCTATGCATTTTTTGTTGCCTTAAATAGTGTGGAAAACTTGAGCTAGAGAGGGTGAGATAGAGCACATCTAGGGGGATAAATAAGTATTGGCTGATCATTTGAAACATTCAGATAAACATTCAGAATTTAATAATGCAGCATTTGAACATTATTTATTCCGTATCCTGGATAATGAACCTGAAACAGACAAATTTTATTCTAGTTTCTTGAAATACATTGTTTTTCCTTAAGAGATGTAGTATTGCAAGTTACTAAGGTGATATCAACATTAAGTATAATGTTTTGGTTTTACTGTCAGTTGGTTTTGAGTGTGCTTTTCTTTGGCTCCCCACAACTTGAAAAAAAAAAAAAATTAACTGAGTATTTTTTTTCTAGTTAATAAGTATAGCAATGGTTTTAGGCAATACATACAGAAGCAATCTGTAGTTCAAACACTGAAGCTTTTTAAAAATAGAGTGTACCAATTACAGTAATAAGACTTTACCTGTGCCAAAAGGGAGAGTATACTCTCTAGCAGACTTTATATAGCATCTTAAGCTAGAGAGTACTCTATTAGTGTCCCTGGAGGTGTTTAATAATAAGCTGGATGGGACCCTGGGCAATCTGATCTAGTGCTTGAATGTAGCAGTTGGCAACCCTGCCTGTTGCAGGTGATTAGAACTTGATGATTGTTGAGGTCCCTTCCAATGCAAGCCGTTCTATGATTCTATGATTCTATGATTCTATGACACTGCTAAATTATATACCTGGCATCTATGAGGCTCTTTGAGAATGTCTCAGATATTCCACTACAGTCTTTTGATTCTACTTTCAGATCAATACGGATGTAGGCACACTTTTCTTCAAATGCTATCATAGGTGTGAAAAGGAAGGACCTAGACACTGAGTACTCTTCTCCTATGCATGATGACCAAAACTTGTCTCTACCCTTAGAGGTTTCTCTTACTTCTGAGAAAATTTTCTTAACTTAAAAATAGTATTGCCTTTCTAAAACCTCTGACGTACGTAATTCGATTTCCTATGTATCTTTTCTGTAACTACAGATAGCACTCTCAGTTCAGATTAAAATATTTTTCCTCTGCCAGATGTGCATATTCAACCTTAAAATCTGAAAGTTAAACCAAGATTTTGTTTGAACACTTTTTTTTTTTTTTTTTGTCTCAAAACTTGCTTTCTGAGGCATTTCTTGTGATAAGACTTTGACTTGTCTAGGAGATGAAAGGATGGGTGTCGCTGTGTGGCAGCTGGCATCACTTTGTGGACAGTTTTACATTTGAAAGCATTTTTTTGGAGCTGTTTGCCTCTGGAAGAGAGCGCTCAGGGCTGTTTACTGGCAGAAGATCTGGCCTGTGACCTAATAACTCCAGCTTTGTATGGGAGATTGGGAATGACACCATCATATCCTGTGAAAAACAGGATGCAGTTGGGTACCTCCCTGCTCACTCTTATCTGCTGGAAAGGATTGGAAGGGAACAAAGGAGTTTCTGTTGAAATACCAAAGCCCAAAGATGCCACTTCAAAGAGAGCTTACTCGACCATCTTTGGACTTATAAATAAGTTTGTACAGTCATCGTTGTCATCATGATCAACTGAACAACTGCCCCTGATGACCCATCACTACGGAAGATCAACATCTGCACTATGTGCAGTGCTGGACTCATAGTGGTGAATATCTGTCTTGCATTCTACAAAGACTACTTGCTTTTCTTTCCTATCTCTTTTCTATCTCCCACCTTCCCTTCCCCATCTCCTTAAGCAATTAGGATTTGTAATAGACTAGTCAGGCTAACATTTGACCCCGTTGTGTCTTAGTCTTGCCATTGGGTATATATGTATTAAAAGAACCACCTCTCCCTCCTGTAAACTGTAGTGAGACAGAATTATCTTAAACAAAATACTATCAAGATGGTAAGATTCAGGAGGTCAATTTATGGCCTCATTTATTCCTGTGTGACAAGATTACCTTAAATTATCTATTCAGACGTACCTGTTTTCTTGGTAAGATTTCATAGGAGCACTTAATTAGAAACATACAAAAACTTGGTTGAGAAAGCCCAAGATGTGACATGATCTAGAATTCTGCTTGTAAAGTTAGCAAACAGCAGTATGAATATATTTAAAGTGCAGTGAGTTGAATAAGCCCTCAATTGTTTGTAATATGTACTCTCTAGGATGCTATCAGAACGCTGTTCAATTTCTGAATCAAAAGCTAAAGTTCTGAATCAAGTTCAGAATCAAGAATAAATCTGCCTCACTGGAATAAATGTTCCCTTCAGCTTTGGACATATTATATTTCTATCATCTGTGGTTTGTTCCTGAAGTAGGTGAAGCTGAAAGCCTGAGTAAAGCTGTCAGGTCAAAAATAATAATACAGATTTTATAAATTTCTATTGTAACCTGCCCAGGTTGATTGGCAGTTACTAATTTGCTGTTTTGAAAACCTTGAACTATCAAATTCAAATCTGTGCATTTAAATTAATGCTGAAATATAATGCTGAGTTTCAAAGTACATTGGAAAAAATTCAATAAATCAAGTAATTAATTTGTACCCTATTGGATCATTACCTTAAGATAATTTTCAAGCTACAAACGCTATTACTAATTTGCATGTAAACATTGCTATGTGAAATTTGAGAATCACAATAAATAGATGGCTTGAGCATAGTTTAAGAATTGTTGCAATGTGTAAAATGGGTCATCAAGCAATTAATTGAGAATTAAAGAATTAAAAATTACATCATTGTAGTTGTCAGCAGAATTTTATCACAAATTAATTTCTAAAAAATGCCTTATTCATTATTATTCATGTACTATATTTCCTTCCTCAATACAAAGATTTTAATAGTATTTAAAAAAAAAAAAAAAATTTGAAATGCCAGATCAGGAATGTCTTATTTAGAGAACTTAACAGATAGGTGCCCATTTTGGTAGGACATTTCCAGAACTGTGGTTGAGCACTTCATCTTCCTTTCTTTGTCAAAAACAAAATGCTAGCAAGTAGATCATCTTCCTCAGATGCAGACTAGAGATACTTTTCACAAAACAGAATTCTAAGAGGCTTCCTAATGTTTCACAAATATTAACTATTTATGAAATTGTTACAAAACAGATTCTAATAGATTCTCTAATGCTTGAGTTATAATGGGAGATGAATTTATACAGTGGACAAAGAAATTTTATGAAAATGTATATACTTAAATATGCAGTTGTACTTCTCAGTCCCTTGAATCAACTCAAGATATACTCTGCCAATTTCTGAATCACAGGATGAGTTGTCCTCTATAAGCTATTTATATTCTCCCAATGTTCACATAAATCAGGATAGGAATGATCCCTTGCTATAAAAAAAAGTCTTGATTCTCCAGGACAGCAAGATACAATCACTGGCACTTCAGTGCTAAAGTCTTAACTTCCATGGCAAACAATAAACTGTGCAGCTGGTGATTACAGCCATACAACACATCTCCAGTTTCATTTTTGCCCCTTTTGTTCATTTGCAAGGAGGAAAAAACTCATATTCAAGTACAAAAGCAGTTTTGTACTATTGATAATTTAGAACTTTTGTTCTTGAAATTAAAACTATGATTAAAGTTTCCTATGCCCTTATTTTTTTTCCTTGGGTTTACGGACGCTTCATCAATTCAACACTGTTACTAAAAGCTAACACTCCAGAAAAAAAACCAACGTACAATTCAGTTATTTCATACCCAGAATCTGAGCATGTTCTTACACATCTACTGTATATATTACTGTATATAACACAATGAATTTACATATAAAATATTATCAGAAAATATGATAAAAATCAAAGGTGAAAGGAATTTAAGTGTGAATTATGAAGATTAACTAATTGAAACAAAAGAATTACCATATACATCACTCCAAAAATAATGCTCCTATTTATTTCCATAGAAACTACTGGGGATACGGTGAGCACATCAACAATAGATGATTGATAGAGCAAATTCTCAGCCACAAAAAACTAATATTTTTTTTTTTAGTTACCATTAGCAATGAATTTTCACCAGCAATGAGCAAGAGCCTGCTTTCTGTGCTCATAGAATTCTTCCCCAGAGGTGACCCACTACTACTGTTGTCATTGCTGAAATGAACCAGTCACCCCTCACCATGCTCACATCCTCTGTTTGGTCTCCAGAAATGTTCAGCAAGCATAAGTGAGTGCCAGTGGGTTACATTTTTTTCTACATGGAGGAACTCAGTGACACACCTTTGATTCATACGCACTTCATATGAGATGCCATTCTGTCAGACTGCTCCTCTGCTGCCATCTGTCACGCAGCAACAGCATGTAACAGAATATTGGTGGGAAGGTTCTGCCTTTACTGTCATACCACCCACATCTACCCCTGACATTGTGGGTCAACGTCATAAAATAGGAGGTATTGCTTTCAGAGAATGAATATGATTTGGACTACATAATAGGGGAAAATAAAAGTTAAAAGTATTTATTTTCTATGTAAGTCTACAAAGTATATAAGAACTCCTGTGGATAGTCTGTATGCACACATTTTCTAAATGTGTTCATTAAAATCATACATAAAAAGTCTTCTCTTAGATTTAGCATGACAACTACCTTGCCAAGAAAGTGATGGGATTCTCACTATATTCCTGTTGTCACTTCCTTTAACATCCCCTATTTCCAAAATTATTTTGTTTTCCAGAAGGTCAAGTTTATTTTGGCTTTCTGTTGCAGAAATCCATAATGGCTTTAGATTATGCTGCATTTAAAATTTTAAGTCTCTATAGTTAGCAGTGCTTATTGCTGATGCCTATAACTTTTAATCTTCCTTCTGTTGGGTGAAATTAAAAGTGAAAGAACAGTCAATTAAAGATGTTTTCAGCTTTTGGAAATATGCATCTATACTTTTAGGGAGGCGACATTCCTATTGCCTCTAAATAAATTTTTTAGCTGCTCTGTGTTTATACAGATCTGTAGAATAACGACTACATGGTTTTTAGCCAAACATATATGTTCCAATACCGTGGTAAAGAGTATCCAGTTCAACACCACCCTGAATTCCTAAACACAGTTTATTTCTTTTTCAGTACAGATATTTAAATAACATTTTCCACTTCTAACTCTGTTTTACGTAAAATGTATGTGTTCCGATCTTCTGGCTGACTGTTCAGTGGTTTGTGTCATGTTGTGTTTTGTCAGTCAAGGCAAGGTGACTGAAGCAAAGTGATATGACTCATTAACTACTAGAGATTTCAGCAGCAAACATCAAGCCCAAATCTCACTAGCTTCTTAAAACGTAATTGCTTTTTATTCTTGAAAATAGTGTTTTCCAACCTGTTTTTATAAAGGCAGATTGTTTTAAAATTGTCTTGGCATGGGATACGGATAGCTTTGACTTGTTTTTATTTTGAAATGCTTAACACATCTCTAATTGCATGAAAACATTACTTAAGTGTTTGAATCTGCAACTTTATTTTATTTTGGCATAAAGTACAGTAGAAGCTTTAATAGCTTGTGATGGTGGAATAGAAATTAAAATGTAAATGTTCCTGTGTTAATAAGAAAAGCTTCTCATCTTAAACTGATTGTTTTTTTGTTTGTTTGTTTGTTTTTTTTGTTTTTTTTTTTTGGTAACTAGGAACGCCATCAGAAGAAACAGAACAATGTAGCAAGAGGAATGAATCTTAACCATACCACCTAATTTGACTAGCACTATGCTAATTAATAATTCCAGAGGAACATATTGCTTTAAAATTATTCACTGTTCAGAAAGATGTCAGTGTTTTTAGAACCCAGATGTATATTAACATTTTTAATATAGAGTACAAAAATAAGTATTTTGGTTTTGTGATTAATGCTTCTTGAAGACATAGGAAAAAATAATTCATCAGATTTCTTCTCTTATTATCAATGTCACGTTTTTTCCAGATACAGCCAAGATATTTGAAGAGATTTTTTGTTTCACCTACTTTTCAGCACCTTCTGGTGGAAGGACCAGCCTTCAGGTACATTCCTATCTGACCACTCTTAAAGTGATCCAATTCAACTTTCAGTACTTCTAGTGATTATATTTTCCAACTTGACTTACTCTGATGGAACTGGGTTAGTATGGGCCATAATTATATACACATTCTGACACCAGAGAAGTTAGCAAATTCTGATTGTTAGACTAGCTTTTGCCCCTCTCATCTGTATTTCTTTGAGTTGTTATATCAGTATACTTTTCTTTATCAGTTGAGAATACAAGCTGCTGTGGAGAGAATTCAGTTTGTTCCGCAACTGAGAAATACCCAGTAGTTATTTGGAGCTCTTCTGCATTTCTGAAATGTATATAGAATGAATTCATAGCAAGTAAAAACAAAATGAAGAGTATTCTCCAACAATCTGTTATTGTAACCAGAAGCTGTGCAGGTGTGTTTGAACTCTACTTCTTTTTCATTGAAATTGGGATTTATAAGACAAGATGATTAATTAAATGATTCTGAGCATACACTGCAGGCAAGATTTGAAGAAATTGTAAAAAAAAAAATCAAAATGTGAACAACAGTTATTCTTATTTCAGTATATATTTTTGTGTAATAGCAAACAGAAGAAAGTAGAACAGACAAGAGAACGTAATACTGCTTTTCCATCTACTTCAGTTTTGCATGTTGTTAAGGCTAGGGTAACCCTAGACTTCAAATAAGCTTGCAGTGTTCTCATAATAAACAGCTTTGTTCTGGACATAACTTCCATTCTGGTTATAAGTTTATGGAATCCTGTACTTTTTGCATCTAGAAAGGTCCACAGAATTAGTTGGATACCTTCCTCTTCTGATACACTAGCACAAAGTAAGTATATGATGATTTACTTTATTTTGACTAGATGAGTCAAAAGCTATTTCCTAGGAGTTCACTGGGAATCTCAGGCATTTTGCATTCAAGATGAAAATATTCACATATGTTCGTGTGCAGATCTGCATTACTCAAATGGACTACAATTTCTAAAGAGTTTCTAAAGTGCTCAGTGAGAAAAGGTGCAGAAAGACAGTGTGGAAAGACATGCTGGATCTGAGGTGTAATTTCAGAGTGGGGAAAAAAAATGTAGGATTTGTAATGAAACTGATATCGAGTAGTGTAAAGAGCAAGCATTTTGAAGTTACTTGAACCTGATACATGTAAGGGTCTCTATGCTAGAAGCTAGCCTCTAGATAATCCATGATCATGAATAAACAGGCAAGATCTCGTGGATGTCAACACCTCATACTCTGCATATATGCATTTCTAGAAATGGGAAAGTTCCACTGTTCTTCCTTGAGGCTGAGTGCCTGCACACAGCAAAGTGAGACAGCTACAGAAGCTGTCATGTGCACAACATCCCAGGTTAAAATGCCTGTTTCAATATAGTTGATAAAGGCATAGTAACATCATCAGATCATACATTCATACATCCCATTCCAGTTTCTCAAGGTGAAGTTTAAAAAGTCATTCTCTTCTACCTTCCTGAGTACTTTTCAGTTCTTTAAACTCCTTATGAAAAGTTTCTTCTCTTCCTATTTCCTTTCAGATTTGTCTGTGTGGACGTTTTCCATCATTTTTGTGACTCTTCCCTTCTTCACTTGGTCTGCAAGCTTCCTAGAAGTTCTCTCTTTCTCATCCCAGCTGTCTCACAATTTCAGAAGCCTTTTCCACAAAAAGCAAAATCTCCCCTCTGTTCAGAGGTTTCCAAGACTTTGCTGTCTTTGTTTATTTGTTTGTTTGTTTATCCATGGTCACCATAGTTGACAGATGGTAGGCTGCCCCTCCTGTGCCAGTCCTAGGGATGTCTCAGCTGTTCTTGGACAAAGCTGGGATTTGCAGGTGCTCTGTGGCTGAGTGCTCTACTAAATTCTCCCAGTATGGAGCTTTGAGAACGTTATACTCTTAAACTTGTTCATTTACTTTACAGGCAAATAAGTTGAAATTCTTCTGAAGAAATAAATAGCATAATATTAAAACAATCCAAACTATTATTCACTATTTGTAAATGCAAATTGTTTCTTCAAGCTGTTGCTTATAAACTAAAAAGTTTATCAAACCAAAGGCTTTTTGAAAAATGTATTTGACCTAGCAAACACCAAGTAGAGAGTAAATTAATTTAGATTAATACTTTTCCTTGTAACGGAGAATTAAAACTGAATACTTACTCCTACAATCAGAAGGAGCCAAAACCAAGAAGATATAATGAGATACAGTGCTTGAAGAAGTTTGGGGATCTTTCATTATTTACATAATTTACATCATTTTCTGACAATTACATTTTGCATGTAAGCCATCCAGTAAATTTCCCCCTTTAAATAGATTTTTTTTTCTTCTCAAATCTTCTCAAAAGAAATTCTAAGCTTCAGATGTCTTCAAATATCACGTTATGAAAAGACTTTAAGAGTTATTGCATCGTTTATTTATACACACTATATCTGAATTTTCGTGATGTATAGCAAGGCTAGTATCCTAGTGAATACAAAAAATTAAATAGCTCCCTTAAGGAGGACAGAGCTTTCCCTTCACTTAAAGCCAAAATGGAAAATATCTGTGGATCTTGCCCAGAACGAAACGTGAAATTTCTATCTACACTTCAATTGTGCTTCTATAGTCTTCTTCCAAAGATACGTATCTTCAGAGCTGACTTCTAATGCGGGCCAGGAATTGTAGTACCTCTGTTTGTCATAGCCCAAGGGAGGGAGAAAGTTCATTCCAAAATTTTAGATTCCTACTAGCATGTTTGTTGGCACGTGTCAGGGTCAGTAAACACAGTCTGTGCTCATGGATTTAAAATTGAAAGTGAATTTCAGCACTAAGTTTAATTTAGCCAATTTACACTTGGACTTTTGTACCTCTCAATATCATCATAATTTATACTCCAAAATATTTCTGTAGGAAATAGTTGAAGCATTTCTTGCTTTTTACTGCCTATAGTGCTTTTATCTTAAGAACCCACCAGTTACGAAAATTTTGTTTTCTTGAAAAAGGTTTTCTGGCAGTTCTGTGGTTGAAAAAGGAACAAGGGTTAGAGAGTGTAAAGGAATGGGAAAATAGGAAAAGACCTTTATTTCTAATGTTTTCAAAAATGTTAGAATGGTTTAATTGTTCAAGGAACATTGAGAGAAAACTTCTGATAATAAGTGCCACTTGGCTTCTGTCTCCTCTAACAACATATCCACTATTGATCTCAAATATAATGATGACATTAAACTGTTAAACTGCAGATACACTTATGTATTCAAAAATCTTTTTACAATTGTTTCAGGCCTCAAATAACATTGTCAGGAATTTCTTTAGCAGACTGTTCTTGTCCCTGCTCTCTGTGTGCGAGATTATGTGCTACAAGAGTAAGAATGTATACAGGAGATTTAAGATTGCTTCATTTAATTACATTTTCCAATTTCAACTTCTGTATCATTTTAATTTTTTATTTTAATATAGTCATGGGTGAAAAAAAACCCAGAAAACACTCATCTTTGTGGGAAGAAGATTGCTTTCTGTTTTTCATACAATAGAGAAAATTTTTTGTGTTTATACTGAAATGATTGTAACAAAAACAAAATCCTGAAGGTGGAAGAATAGTAACAACTACAATAGAAACACTAGAAAAAATAAAATAAAATAAAATAAAATAAAATAAAATAAAATAAAATAA